ATTGTGGTATGAGCACTTAGTTATCTGATTTTCATATTTCATCACAACTGTTTGCTTTGTGGGGTTCCTCTTCAGCTAAAATCAAAGTATTTTTCTGCTACTGAAGTTCCTTTCTTACATAATGAGCAGAAATCGCAAGTCTGTAATAAACACGGTATTCTGACTGAGATGCTGCCTAGCATCAAAATGGAACAATATACTTGATCAGATTAACACATTCATGAGATCTTTCACAAATTGCAAAGATGGTGACTTCTGAATTTATTTAAATGACAAGTGCAACATGTGTACATTCGTGTGCAGGGCTTGCAAACCATTGGCAGAGGGACACAAGGATTTTGCCCCTCATTTTCAAAACCTCTCTTGAGAATCTTCAGGGCCTCTTCTCTTGTCCTTTGATTTATGTGCCAAAAGGGAATCTCTCTAATCACAAAACAAAACCACAGAGGCATTTTTTGAGAGTTTTACAGCTCAATAAGTAATTTGCAGGGGGGGGGAGGAAAGAATTAATTAGGCCGAGGAATGTGAAACGTATCAGAGGTTAAAGTAACTCTTTCATGTGCACCAGCAGATGCAAAGGATAACTCCTGGGTGGGGCTGTGTCTTCACTGTGGAAGGAAATAGATACCCTCTCTACGTAGGGTTATGCTGGAAGGGTCTCAGACTGTCTCCAGACGTTAAAAGTTGCAACTGATTCCCAATGAGCTGTTGAAGACCACCTCCCCCAAACACTGCATGATCAACATCTCTTTCCCCAGCAGCTCTTTCACATCCATTTCTTTCAAACCCAGAAGTCTCTGATCAGGGCCCTGGCTCTACCCTCGCACTTGAAACCTGATGTTACTTTGATGTTACTTCCCAGAGGGGAAACTAGGTGTCTTCCTGCTATCCCTTGGGCTCTGGCTTGGGCTGAAGATAATTCTTGCTTAGGACTTGACTTCGCAGCAACAACAAATCAGGAAAAAAGACAGAGAAAACAGTGAAGCTGCATCTCAACTTAACCATTCCCTTGAGCAAGGTGGTTCCTGGGCAGCTCTTGATGACCTCCCATCTCAAACCCCACGTACTTTTGACCAGGAACATCTCCTGGCCCTTCAAAATGCTGAGATAAGCAGGAGTCCCACAGTGTCCCTCTGCAGTGCCCCACATGGTCGTCATCCCCCAGCAGCCTACTGCACAAACGCAGTGAGCACCCCCCAGATAAAAGAGGTCAGGCTTTCCAATAAGTTATGTAGGAGATTTGGACATGCAATCACATTGGAATTACCGGATATTGGATATCGATGCCCCCTACTTTCTGTCTATTTTCCATTACCTGTAAGTAGCCCCTTGTTCCCCTCCTTTCCTAAGGTAACTGGGTGTCCCAGCCCCCCGGGCTGAAACCCCTTAATTGGTTACTGGAGAAAGAAACCAGCTGGCTTGCTGAGGCATTTCTCGACATCGCAAACTCATCCTCATTTCCTTTCATTACATCTCTACCTGTCACGTCCTTTGCGGAGAAAGGAACAAATGCATTAATTAGAGTGCAGCAAGGGCTCCTGCCCGAGTCTCCCACCCCTCGGTGCCTCCACAACCTCACAGAGCTTTCGCTAAAAATGTGTAATTAGGTTCTGCAAAGTAACTTCCTGACCATACCCGCTCTTTTCAAGTGCAGGAGCCATAAGTGGTGTGTGTTTTTCAGAGCCACTTCAAGTACCCCATCATTTTTCTAGCTTTTTTTTTACAAAATTATATTTACTCATCTTTTTACATCAAAGCTGAATCCATTTAGAAAAATCTTTGAGCCCGTGGACAGTGTCACTTACTGGCCTGGACTTGGCGTATTTTGTGAAAGGTGTTCAGAGAATAGCTATAGATAGGCTGTGTTGAAAAGGCTGTGTTTGCACATGAGCTTCTATGTGCTTGTCCGTCCGTCCTTGTACCAGTTTGCCAGAATACATAAAGAAATTCCATCCCAAGCAGGGGTTGATTTAAACATGATCTGAAGTGCTCTGCTAACATGGGGTGTACCAAAGCTCATTCTGTGCTGAATCTGTGCCAAAGTGCTATTCAGATAAATTACAAATTAACGTAATGCCTCTTGTGAGTTTAAAGTATTTTTCTTCTCTTCTTTACTCCCTCTCTTCAAGTCGGGTCTGCTGGTCCAGCTATGGACTTTTTCTTTTAACCATCATCATTGTCATGATGGAGATGAGCTGTCGAGGAGGAGCATTCCTCAAAAGCATCCACACTCAGAATTGATCTATCTTCCTTAAGATGCTTACTGCAAACTGGAGTCCCTCTAACACAAATACCTCCTCACCCAGGGTGTGCTTCAGTCTGGGCTTTGATCGCTTGCCTGGTGTCCAAAGAGTCTCCCTCTCCAGGACTGCTGGTGGGGGAAGCTGAAGTCGACGGTGACAGTGTGTCCTGCTTTGGCTGTAGCTTTGTAGATCACGGCTGAGGCCCTCACCTGACAGTAAAAGCAGTCTGGGAACCAGTGAAGAGTTTTAGGCACAGAGATTATACCTGCACAGCTTCCGCCTTGACAAGGTAGTCCTCTACATTGGCAAGCTGTCTTAACCTGATACATCCTTGTGACAAATATATGGATCAGGCAGGCTAGATCCCACTCTAGGGAAGAAAAAGCAGGCAAATAAGCAAGCAAGCATTTTATGATGACCTGTTTTTTCCTATCCCCAGCGTTAGGAGATTGTTTGTACACTGACAGTAGTTCCAAAAGGGGCCACGAGCCCCAGGCAGGCAGTGCTTTTCTTGGAGAGCAGCACTTCTGAAATGAGAAACAGACAGGGAAAATAAAGACGGGCTAAAACATACAAGCAAGGAGAGGCTGATATGCCAGCGCTGTGGTTTCTTGTTCCTTTTGTGTGGACGCCTCATTCTTGCACTCCTGGTGCACCACCATATCTTCACTCACACCTCCACACAACCTGAAGTCTTCGAAGCATCATAGCTGCTTCTAATCAGAGACTCACAACACACATTTTTTTTATGTTGATACAAAAAGCCAGGACACTCATAAATACAAAGAGCTGCCTAGAAAATTTCATTATACACTTTTGATTTTCCAACTTTCCATTTAAATTGCTAGGTCTTAAACAATGTACTTGGCTACCACCTCACTAGCAGAATTTCACGCACTCAAACTCAAGGGAGAGCAGGCAGGGACACCCTGGGTGCTCTGCTTTTCACATAATAAGCACATCTCTCTCTGGTTAAATCACTATCAGTGCAGATTTCATCACATTTAATTACATAGCACCCAATCCCAGATCTCAGCTTTCTGTTTTCAAGCACTATTTTCTCAGGGATGCCCTAAACAGGTCTAACTTAAAAAAAAAAAAAAAAGAGCAATTATAAGATTGTTTGGATCCCTGTAAGCGGTGGAATCCAAAGCCAATGTGGATCTTGTAATGTTTATAGGAAGCTTTGCCTCTCTGACATATTTTAGCTCGTAGGAGCTATATCCCATGTCATTTGCCCACTTTCCAACAGGGCTTGTTAGCTTGGCCAGTGGCTGCATGGACATGGCCACCAGAGTTGTTGCTGACTTGGGAGATGGCAGAGTGAGCTTTTTCCTGCCTGTGGTCATATTTCCACATAAAACACGGACAAGTCTTGCTGTGAGATTGTCGAGTCCCTCTAACTCAATGGGTGTCCTATATACTTGAAGTGTCTGCATTGCCATGAGGTTTTGCTGAATTTGATATGTCAGGTTTACGGGGGAAAAATCTTGGCACAAGTAGAAGGAAACGTGGGAAAAAAGCAGGACTAGAATCTTCAAGAGATGAATTAGTGGGAGTTTCTGCTCTGACCCCCAATCCTGTTCTTATACACCTACGTTCCCCGAAAGGTACCGCAGGGAAATAGGGAAGCAGCTGTGACGGCAGCAACAGGCAGAGACTGTACATATAGCGAGGAGCTGAGGAAAGGGTGGTTAGGCTCGGTGCTCTTTTAAGACACGGCACACCATGTTGCTCGTGTAAGAATCACGCTTTTCAGGCACGCTCTTGGAAGATCTAGGCACAAGTACAAGGAGGTGGTTTGAAATTACTACATATGTCTTCTTGATATATTTACACTCCAGGGACCACCCACGTCACAGGATGTGTTAGAACTGCTCACCAAGCTTTCTTCTGGAGTTGAGACGAAATTACAGATTCTCTTTTCCCAGAACGCAAGAAAAAGTAGCAACTTTCTGAATTATTATTATTATTATTATTACGGAGGCGTTTTTTAAAAATAGGTCCCATTCTTCAAGACCTTTCAAGCACTGGGGGAAATCTTTGCACCTCTTCAACTCCTTTAAGTGCTGGTTACTTAACCCGGCTTGTAAAAAAAAATGCACGGTGGTAAGAACGAGCTCTTCTTCGTGAGCCAGTTGAAGCAAGTTGAGGAAAGGATATGGGAAGGGAGGTTGAAATCCCCATTAGAAAAGATGCATTATTTTCTATGTTTATATGACAGTGAAATCCTTGTGGGGACTCTTGTGCACTGAGACAATATATTTTAGTTTTAATTGTTTCAGTCAATGTCAATTTTACATCAAACATGCAATAAAGTAAAAATGGCCTTTGGGAAACATCACTGAAACTTATTTTGTGCTGCAGTACTGCCAGTGTAAATATCTACTTCTGTTTTGTAAGCTTAAAGCCAAATGGAGCAAAATTTTCCTTTCAGAGAGACTACTGACCTGTCAGCATCAAAAATATTATTTTTAGCATATAAAAATTGTTTGTCAGTGATTGTAATAACAAGAATCCTTGCAAAATCCATTATTACTCGAGTAAACATTTTCCCTTAGGCAGTAATAGTAGGAAATGAATTAAGTAGTTAGTTGATAGCAACTGGATAACGAAAAATTATAAAGTGTCACATCTACTGGGATAAAATATATTTTCTTTCTGTTTAAATTATTAAGTGTTTACAGTAGCTCAGAGAAAATATCAGATCTAAAGCATTTGGGTAAATTCTAATTTATTCTACTGCTTGCTTTCCAGAATGCTAGAAGATGACCTCAAGTTAAGCAGCGACGAAGAGGAGAATGACCAGGTAAGAACCAGACAACTAACATGTCACTTGTAGCATGTTTCATGTCAAGACTGAACTACTGCAAATATTTTGCTAATGCTTTTTCAAAACATACATAAAGGTTATCAAAATACATGGCAGTACTGTAACTAGAGTAACAGATGTTGCTGCTCAGAGCCAGCCCGTGTATGCTAACTGCTGGAGTGGTGGGGAACGGTCTGCAGCGCACTTGATTTATTACCTTGATGCGACCCAGAAGGTTTTTGTATCAGTCTCCTTCTGATTTGATTTTGTTTTGTTTTAAAGTGCGGCCAAGGAGGGGAGAAACAGGAATTCTGGATTAAGGGATGGGGTCAAGCCTTGCAATCATGAGGTGGCCCCAGGGATTAGCCGCTGTGCTGCTTAGGTCTTACCTGCCTAGAGCCTCGCCGGCATCGCCCCAGACCTCGCCTCTCCTCTGAGTATTTTCGGTCCTGTCTCTGAGTGGCTCATGTGTGCTAAGAAAGCTAAGGACAGCTGAGAGAAAGCCTTGGCTGTGCATTTGGTTCCCTCCATAGCACAGCAATTAGGGCACTTGCTTGGGTTTTAGCGACCCCAAACTTCCTGGCTGGGAGCAGGTACATCAGCCAAAGTTTCCCATGTGTCAGGAGAGCAGGGTTTTACTGGCAGGGGGAAGGTGTCTCCCAGTTTTTCCTTAAAACTTTGCTGTGTTTTGTCTAAATAGTTAAGTATCCACTAGAATAGGGCTGGATCTTGACTTTCCCATGGCCGGCCGAGTGCCTCGTGGCCAAGCGGTGCTATGCCACACTCTCTCCTTCTCAGTATACTGACATGGGTGATTTGGTTGGGGATGAGAGGGCAAAAGCCGCTTCCCTTCCTTATTGCAGTAAAATGCATGTCCTGTGCCTTTACTGGGGCATATGAGGGCAGTACTGCCCCTAATCGCATCTCACAGGTGGATCCAGAGTGGATATAACATGGGTTTCAAATGCGATTATTTCAGTCAAGGGTAACTGGAGCTATCTAGACTTCTGAAATTCAGGATCTTAGACAAATAATTCTAGGTATGTAGGCATGAAGCTTTTCCAGGGTTTTCTTAAACTCTTGTCATTATAAGTCTCTATTTTACAATATATTCTGAACAACAGGTAAATCAAAACCTTTTAATATTTATACTAAACGCTTATTTCATCTATTTTGAGGAAAGCTTCTTGGTGTTAAGAAGATTCAGTACATAGATTCAATTATTTACATATTTATACATTTTCTTTTTGTTTAATGTATTTCATCCTGAAACACTTCACATTTAATTACTCTTCCTGCTTGTCTAGACAGTTTAAAATACAGCGCATAGACAGCATAGGGCAAAGTAAAGTGAGGGACAGAAGGGATGTCTGAAGAATAACAATAGCACACCAAGATGCCGTGGTTTTGCAGCGAGGGGCTGGGTGGTAGAGGAGGAGAGAGCCAGCAGTCTGGAGAGACGGCTTGTCCTTTGGGTGGGAAGGGAGGTGTGATCCTGCGTAATGGATATCAGTATGGAACAGGCTGGTAAAGCCTGAGCGCTGAAACTTTTGCTTCATAACAAGCAAAAAAAGACATGTGGAAGTGTATATTGTGCAGGAAGTGAAAGAACATTAGTAGATTTAGGAGGAGAAGGGATAGTGGAAAAGTACAGCCGTTCCAGCATGCACACATGGTACCTTCAGTTTAGCGCTACCACTTCGGACTATTAATATCTTTCATGCGCTTGGATTGCTCAGTATTATGTGTGCTACGCAAGGTCTTTGCTCAGTAACCAGAGCTTTAAGGTACAGCTGATATAGCCTGGGTCTTTCGCCTCAGTGCTCGAACAAATTCTGCAGAGCCAAGACTGAGTTTGCCACCCATGCGGGAAAGCGCAGAGCTGAGATCCCATTACTCACTTTTAATCGTCACAGGCTCTAGCGTGAGCAACCTTCAGCAGTTACTTTGTGGCTTGGTCCCCTTTCCGTGTCATATTTTTTTCCGACTTGACTGTACAGATAAAAATCTCCTGGAGACACGGGCTGGCTCCTGCTATATGAAATGCTTTGCAGAACCTCAGCTGAGACCTGCAGGTTTGCTTAATGAACAATCCTAAATAACTATGCCTGCTGGATAAACAAAACACTACGTTTCCATCTACCTAGCAGGAAATAGGCCCAAAAAAAGAATAACACAGACCCCCTCTGCCAATAAATGCACAGATTACAACATGGATCTGTGTCTAAATGTCAGTGGGAGAACCCATTTCCTTTCACTTCCTAATTCTGATGCTCTTTAATCTCAGATCTCCTCTTGAGCTCCGGAACAGGAAAGAGAGAAATCAAAGGTGAAGGGATAGGAACACTACATGAGTGATTCCCAGATACTCCTTATGTAATAAATTAACCTTTGAGCAATCAGACTTATTTTTGTCTAATTTCTCAAAGAACTGAGGGTGAGTGGTACAAGAACCGGGCAGCTTTTCATTTTGCTAATTTCTGAACAGGGAGGAACTTTAGGGGAAAAGCTTTGAAAACTTCGGAGGAGATTTTGTGTTTGCATCTGAAATCGCCGAGCAGCGAACGGAGAGTCTCTGAAGCGGTGCAAAGGGGGACAGGTGCTCCTGCACTCCCAGGGCTGGCATTTGGAGGGCTGTGACTGACCCAGGGAACGTGAGCCATGGATGAGGGAGGCCAAATGCAAGACAGAGGCATGATTAAGTGCTTCAGGACCCACAGTGGGCAAGGCATTCCCAACCCTTTCCTCTGTGTCAGCAATTAAGGTAGTGAGATTCACCGACCCAGGAGAGGCAAAAGAGGCTGGGTTTGAGCTGAGTGTGTGTGCGCCCACAGTAATTACATTATCCACACATATTAGTCTCTTAATTTTAATTACATAAATGTATTTTTCCTCTTTAATGAGCATAGTTTATCCATTTAAACTGATCATTTTAATTTTACAGGCAGTGATCATAGGATCTAATATGCAGAGGGAAAATTTCCTGTTGGCATATTTTACATCACACAGATTGAAGAAAATACACTTTTTAATCCCCAATCAATATCTGAAGAGCATGCAATTAACAGATACCAAGGTAGTTAACATAAATCTGCAAGTTAAAGAGCCAATTCATTTTGATTTATAACACATAGAGTAATAATTTCATCATCATCTCTCCCAGAAAGCATCTGAAGCTTTGTAGCATGAAGATGTCAAAATTGTACTTAAGATTGTTCAGAGTACTGAATTGTAGTGGTTATTGCCTTTTGGTTCCTTGAAGTGTGGCATAGCACATGAAACGGTCCCCATTATAATACCCTGCTCTTCTCCGTAGAGGTCACTGGATAACTTAAATCAGTCTTGGGTGAAATATTAAAAGGAGATTGTCAATTGTAATACGAACAATTCTCTCTCCCCTCCCCCCTCCTCCCCCCGCTTGTCCCTTTACAATATGAAAATTCTCTAATAGAAAGTAGTTCCTTTAAGGGGAAAAAGATCCCTGGCATCATTTGTGCAATTCATGTCAATCAATAGCCAAATAAATTAACTGACTGGTACGCATACATGGAATAATAATCTAACATATTTTTGCAACCCAAGTCTGCTTCCTTGTATGCATTTTTTCTGCGCGGGATCAGGTTGGTTGCCGCTGAAGTTTTGTGGCTGCGAAAATTTATTACCCACAGAGTCAATCTGCATTCTGGCTGCCAAGTCTGAATAAATAGAGTCATTGTGCTTGTCTGGAATATGTAACCAAAGTTCATCCAGTCAGCTTGACTTTCACATCCCATGGGATTCATAAAAGCCAACACCCTGGTATGTGCTCTTGATTCCTGCCAAAATTTTGTAAAATTGTATAAACAGAAGTTGAAGAAGCAATCAAAACACACTCCCAGGGACATGGCTCCGCACTCCAGCCCCTGCTGTATCTCGAAAGGAAAGACCCAACTTTAGTACTTTTTTTATTATTATTATTTTAAATAATCACATGACTATCCTCCTGCAGCAGCAGGTAAATACAGGAGCTGAAGACACCCTCAGCGTACAGTGCACAGGGAGGCACCGAACAATCCTCTCGGGTTCATTAATTGTGCTTATGTGCCCTGCACCAAAGGAAGAGAGAAGGAAGCGTTTGCCTGCAAGTGGCTGCCCTCCTTAAGAAGGGATGGGGACAGGATGGCCGTGCAGGGCCTGAGCAGTGTGAGTGAAACCGGCCCCACTGCAGGCAAGCCAAGACAAACAGAAAGCCGTGTCCCTTCACAGGAGACCTCAGGCGAAGAGCAGCCCTGAGAAAGTTCACCAGAAACACATTCAGCACGGTGAAATAAAAGTCTCGGCAGCCTGGTCTGGCTCACCACACAGAGCCCCACAGGGTGACAGCAGCCCACCCAGCCCAGCACCCTCCTGGGGGTCCAGGGGCTGTCCCCTGCCCACAGCAGCCTGGGGACAGCCAGGGTGAGCTGCTGGCCCCAGGAGACCCATTGATGCTCCAGTATCACTCTGGCCATTGCTGAGCTGGGAAGCTTGAAGCTAATTCAAGTTGCACCCACAGCTCCAATGGGGACATATGTGCTTATGTTTCCTCCTCATCACATATATGCTGAGGGATGCCAGGGCTCAGCGCTGGAAAGGCATCTTTCTGGCAGGATTGTCTGCAGCACAAGAATTTAGGACCAGCCAAAACCATCTTGTCACTGCAAGAGGACAAAAGTCCATCTATGGGGCCAATGCAAATTGGTGTGGCCATGTCCCTACATAAATAGCATTAGGAAATGATTTATTTTTTTAAGTCATAAAATCATGCTTCATTTCTTTAACAGTAGCCAGAAACAAGAGACATAGAATGCATTTAAAGACAATCTTTTTAATTAACTGTAGGACTTTCCTCTCTCATTTCTGCAGATAGACTGAAAATCAACAAAGAAATAAAAATTATCCTGAAATGAATGGTGATGCGTACACCTTCTTTCAGAAGGAATAACTTTTAATAGAGTTTATATAAGCAGTACTTCTGC